TCAAACCTGGGACCCTCCAGTCTGCAGGCTGACGCTCTATCCACTGAGCCAAACTGGTCAGGGCTCCAATCATTTTTAAATAACAGCTTTATTGAAGTGCAATGGACATACCATAAAACTCACCCTTTTGGAGATTACAGCTTAGCAGTTACTTCCAGAGGAGTGCAGCCATCACTACTATCTAGTTCCAGAGCATTTTCACTGCACCAGAAAGAAGCCCCAGCCCTTGTCCTGCCTCTGGCAGCCACTGACCCACTGTCTCTCTCTGTGGATTTGCTCATTTTGGGCATCTTAGGTAATTTGAGTTATGAATTATGTGGCCTTTTGTGACTGGCCTCTTTCACAGCATAATACTTCCAAGGTTCACGAATCAGTACTTTATTCCTTTTATGGCAAACTAGTGCCCTGGTGCACGGATTCGTGCACATTGAAAGGAAATTAATTAGAAGGTGGCCGGCGGGGTGGGACTGGGCGAGATGGACAGGATACACCCTGGAGCCAACCTCCCATGGTGCCTCCCTGGCTGGCTGCACCTGGGGTGGTGCCGTGGCTCGAAGGGCATCTGCAGAGTGAGCGGGATCCCTCCAGCAGCTGGGGTCCCTCGGCCTGGCCTGAGGGGATCGGGCTGAAACCAGCTCTCCAACATCCCCCAAGGGGCCCCAGATTGTAAAAGGGTGCAGGCCAGGCTGAAGGACCCCACCTGTGCTATATATTCCATTTTATGGGTAGTCAAGATTGTTTATCTATTCATCAGGTTTTTTTTTTCATTTGGGTATTTTAAGTAAGGCTAGTATGAATATTCATGTACAAGTTTTTGGTTGCTTTTGTTTCATGTGTGTGTAGATATATGTTTTCAATTCTTTTGGTTTATACCTAGAAGTAGTATTGCTGGCTTAAATGAAAACTCTATATTTAACTTTTTGAATTAAACTCAAATTGCCAAAACAATTTGAAAAGGTGTTAAACTCTTTTCTAAAGTGGCTGCGCCATTGTACATTCTCACCAATGAGGGAACGGTTCTACTACATCTTCATTAACACTTGTTTATTATTATTATTATTATTATTATTATTACTAGAGGCCCAGTGCATGAAATCATACACCAGTAGGGTCCCTTGTCCTGGCCTGCGGAACCAGGCTGAAACTGGCTCTCTGACATCCCCCAAGGGGTCCCAGATTGTGAGAGGGTGCAGGCCAGGCTGAGAGACCCCACTGGTGCATGATCAGGGCTGGGGAGGGACGCAGGGAGTTGGCCAGCTGGGGAGGGACTGCAAGAGGGCTCTAGGGCATGTCCACTCAGTCCCGATTGGCTGCACCCCAGCAGCAAGGTAACCTACTGGTTGGAGCATCTGCCTCCTGGTGGTCAGTGCACATCATAGTGAGCAGTTGAGCAGCCTTAGCATATTATTAGCATATTACCCTTTGATTGGTTGACTGGCCAACTGGAGGATCAGACGACTGGACACTTAGCATATTAGGCTTTTATTATATAGGATAACCATTCTAGTGTGTGAAGTGATATCTCGTTGTGTATGCAAGTGTGCATGTGGGAGTATGAGTGTGTGTGCGAGTGTATGTGAGTGTGTGTGCTGGGGAGAATTCCAAAATAAGCTGTTCAAAGCCACCAAAAAATGGTGGCTGTGAGTGAGAAAAGGTTACTTGATGTCCCCAGGTGACATCCTCCCAGTCCAAGAGTGGAGAGCACAGGTGACATCAAAGCATTTGTCCACACAGACACTTTAGGGCAGGCGGAGGAGAGGAGTCTGAGGGCTGATGGAGGATGTGGCTGGTGTGGCTGCCGTGGCTGGGGCTTAGGAGCAGAGAGAACTGGTGTCATCTCAGAATCCAGGAGGCAAGTCCATGGCAGCCGCAGTGACAGCAAGCAGAGCAGCCTGCTCAGGGCTGGGTCTGGGGGGGATGAGAAGAGAGCCAAAGGTTTCCCAGGCTGGCTCACACCTCCCTCTGGAGACCATGACATTGAAAGACATCCATCCTGAGGAGGCCCATGGTCTGAGCAGATAGGGAACTGAGAACATAGAAAGGCAATGACAGAGGCCCAAAGGTTTCAGCAATGGCTGCAGAGGGACAGGGGCTGCCTCTCAGCACAGGGTAAGTCCTTCCCTCCCAGAGCTGGAGCTGAAATAGGAACCTGCCCAGAGGCTGACAGTAGCTCCATGGAGAAGAGAGACGGAAGGATCTGGCACTGACCTCCATATTTACTCAGAAGGGACTGGGAGTCTTGAGAGCAGGAAATGCATGCCTGTGGCACACAAAATATGATCATTATGCTGAGAAATGGAGCTGAGACCTTTGTAAAATACCAGGATTCTTGAAGGCTCCACCATCAGTAAGTGAGCCAGCTATACAAGCTCTGCTGCCAAAGGAATGCATGAGTCAGCTTTAGTTAGGTTAACAAGTTCCTTCTTCTCCCCATTTTAAGGTGAAACAAATAAACAAAAAATAAATCCAAAAGATGTAAAACAAGAGGGATTAAAAAGAAGCATGGACATAGAAAACAAATGGGAAGAATAAAATAAAATGTTAAAAATAAGTTCAGATGGATCAATAATAACAATAAATATAAATGTACCAAACTCTCCAGTTAAAAAAATTAGAGATGGTCAAACAGCTATGTGCTGTATCCAAGAGCTACTTCTAAATCACAGGACATAGGAAGTTTACAAATTATCTAACAGGCCAACAAAAAGCAAAGAATCTTGACATATCAATGGTAATACCAGGCAAATTATACCTTCAGGAAAAAAAGCATTATGAGACCCAATGTATAACCTTAAAATAAATAAAAAACAGTTTATTATTTAAAAACATATGCATATGTCACAAATGTATAAATAAATTACTAATGGACAGCACAGGTTACCTGGAGATGGTGAGGTTGGGGGTGGAGGTTGTGATTTGGGGAAGTACATAAAAGTAGTTGTAATTCTATTGACAATTTTTTGTTATTCTAAGCTGGGTGGTGGCTACATGGGTATTGGATATAATTTCTTCATATATGTCCCATGTTGAAAAGAGTTTATAACAATAAAAAAAACCACTCTCTTCTAACTATTATTACAAATAACTTTCAGAGCAATGAGCTGTCCACCACAGAACATCATGAAAGTGTAGATCAGAGAGCCCCTTGGGAGAAATAGTAACTCTGATGGGCAAGGCGATTTAATGAGATTTGGCGGCATCCTCTTAGGGAAGATAACAATGTTCTTGTTTTAGCAAGATACTTGGATAAGCAAGTTACTTATACTCAATTTTGTCCTCAGGGAAATGTGTGTGGATAAAACAATTCCCTTGCCAGAAACTCCCTTATCTTGTTAGGTTGTAAGTTCCTTGCAAGAGAATCATTAGTATTAAATTGTCAAGTGATGGTCATTGGTGCTAGTTCAACACCAAAAGGAATCCCAATTAGGGGTGTGGTGAAGAAATAAACTTTATTCAGTGCAATCAGCTCAATTGTGAAACAGTAGTCTAAGAGGCAGTCCTGGGGTAAGGCTCCTCTCCAGCTCTGCTCTGCTCTGGTCCATTGAGACAGCTTTGGTGTTTCAGCCCCATCAGGGAAACACAGTCTTCAGTCTCAGCTGGAAAGGGAGCATGCACTCTTTGAGCCAGAAGGGAAGGTGACTTATATAGAGAGAAATCCCCACCCCTGGTCCCTGATTGGCCCATCATCATGCAAATTAGGACTCCAAATCCTTGCAGTTTGATTGGTCAGAATGAAGACACTCTGATTGGTTGGTAAAAATGCGGATGGAGGATATAGCTGCATAACTCCAATTGGACAGGGAAAGCCTCAGTCCTATTGGTTGAAATAGGATTCCAGTAACTCCTTTATAAGGGCTGGCTCAAATGGTGAAAACAGAGCAGGTGGGCAGTTCAGTGCAGTTTGCAGGAGAGTCCCCTGTGTAGAAATAGCTGTGGCCCTTCTTGGTCGGTAGCTTCTTTCTCAGGGTCCACAAAATGAAACAATGACTGAAAGTAAAGTACTTAGTACATAGTAGGTGTTCAACAAACTGCATTAAAATCTTTGTGGAAATGAAGCAGATTAGAACCAGTGAGATAAAAAGAAAGAGAAATGAGATACTACTTCCCAAACTCCGGAAGCGAGGATGACCCTGCCTCAGGGTTGTGCATGCTTCTATCACAGCACTCGCCCTGTCCCACACCTATATTTCTGTGTCCCACTGGACTCACCTGTGCTTTCAAACACTGTGTCTGGTGCAGGGACACTCACTAGCCATTTGGAGAATGCAGGAAACATGCAGGTGTTTTATAAAGTGACTGTAGGACAAATCATATAAACGCTGCAAATGAATGAACCCGTTTGGGCTCTCTAGTTGGGAACCAGATGATTACAGACGAGGATGACGTTTACTGACAGTTAAAGCAGCTCATTTTCTTGTTGTCATTACAACAGTGATATTAAACATGTTCTTTCATTCACAAACATTTCATGTTGGTGCTTCTGTCTCTGTCACTCAGATGAGCAATGCAAGGCAAAACTGATCTAAATTTGGATGATGGGAACATATACCTTCCCCCTTCATCTCACTTATGCATGTTTACAATGAAAACTCAAACAGGCTATCCCCCCCGCCCCCCGCCCCCTTCTTTCCCTTCTAGCGGTGGGCAGGGTGAGGGTGGGGATTAGGGATTTCACAGTGCCAATCACTGACTTCCTGAGGTTTATTAAAGGGCAGGGAGCGCTCTCACTGGGAGAAAGATGAAGGGTGCTGATGGGTGAGGAGGCTTGCTCACGCCTTGGCCTCCTGCCCGCGCTCTGAGCAGCTCAGCTGCCCTCGCCACTGGGCCTGTGCCGCAAGCGGAGCCACCCTTTTGCTGGACTAAGGCCGGTTACCACCTTGCAGAGGGCGTCTGATTCCAGTGAGGAGGTGGGCGGGGACCCACCGGGGACCCACCCTTTAGGATTGGTCTAGTAGTCCCTGGGCGGTGACTTCCGGGGGCAGGGAGGCTCCCAGGGGGCGCGGATTTCTCCTGGCAGTGTCAGCACTACCTCTCATTTGCAACAGACCGGAGCTCCCTACTGCCAACTGCCTGGAAAGCGCAGAAAGAGCGCTGGCTCTGTTGGCGACTTGGGACCCTGGCAACAGCTGGGAGTGGAATCGGTTGGGAGTCGTGGGGAGCCCTCTCCAGGAACCGCGAGGAGTCCTGTGCGCGCACAGCACAGCCCCTGGTGCGCTGGGGAAGAGAGCGGCTCCGAGCAACAGGTGTGGCGGGAAGCCACCCCCGGAGAGAGGGAATCGGTCGCAGGGATCCGGAGCAGGTAAAGCGCGGAGAGGGTTCTCTCCACCTCCTGGGCTGCACCACGGGTCCGCGCAGCGGGCCGAGGCGTCCGGGGAGGGGTTCCCTGAGCTCTCGGGACCGCCGCCTATGCCCGGGAAGGTCCAGCACTCAGACAGACCCGTCCAAAGACAGCGCCGCTAGGCACAGCCGCCCAGGCGCGTGGCCGCCAGGTTTGCTCAGACTGGGAAACGGGCACTCTGAGCTCGGGGCTGGGTCCCAGGAGGGACCCCCTGGGCACCTCTGTCCCTGGCAGGCAGCCCTCACCAGCGCGCCCGGGCGCCCCCGCAGGTCATGGAGTTGGTGGCCGGGAACCTCAGCGAGGGGAACGCGAGCGGCCCCCAGCCCCCTGCCCCGGACCCGCCGCCGCCGCTCTTCGGCGTTGGCGTGGACAACTTCATCACGCTGGTGGTGTTCGGCCTGATCTTCGCGCTGGGCGTGCTGGGCAACAGCCTGGTGATCACAGTGATGGCGCGCAGCAAGCCCGGCAAGCCGCGCAGCACCACCAACCTGTTCATTCTCAACCTGAGCATCGCCGACCTGGCCTACCTGCTCTTCTGCATCCCCTTCCAGGCCACGGTCTACGCGCTGCCCTCTTGGGTGCTGGGCGCCTTCATCTGCAAGTTCACCCACTACTTCTTCACTGTCTCCATGCTGGTCAGCATCTTCACTCTGGTCGCGATGTCGGTGGACCGGTATGTGGCCATTGTGCACTCCAGGCGCTCCTCCTCCCTGAGGGTGTCCCGCAACGCGCTGCTGGGCATGGGCCTCATCTGGGCGCTGTCCATCGCCATGGCCTCGCCAGTGGCCTACTACCAGCGCCTCTTCCACCGGGAGTCTGACAATGGCAACCTGACCTTCTGCTGGGATCAATGGCCCGACCAGCATCATAAGAAGGCTTACGTGGTGTGCACCTTCGTCTTTGGCTACCTACTGCCACTGCTGCTCATCTGCTTCTGCTATGCTAAGGTGGGCAAGGGGGCGGGGGCGGGGTTAGAGGGTAGTGCAGCTGGCTGCAGGGTGTGGGGTTCGAGGGCCCTGGGACTTCTCTGCATGTCCCTCACCCCTTTCCAAGCCCCACAGCGGCCTCCACCGTTTTGCCCTGGTCCCTGTCTCCACCACAGCTTTGCTGGTTTGATGTGGAGAAAGTTACCTGGACTTTGGGGGACACTGGGAAAGTTTGCACTGCACTTCCCAGAGTCCCACTTACCCTCAGGGCGTGGCCTCCTGCAACCTCAGGTTGTCCTGGCAGCTGACAGGCAGGTTCAGCCCCAGTTTCTAGGTACAGGGATATCCGCTCAGATTTAGCTCCTCAAACCTGGACAGCCTGCCTGAGCCTGCAGTCACAGGGGGCACTCCTCACTCTGAGGCTGTGGGCCTTTTGCCAGGGTGGCGGGGCCCACTGCCCAGCACTCAGTTGGGACATGAGGAGGTGATTCCCACGAGGGAGCTGGACGGGACCTGGCTCTGTAAAGCCATTGCCCTGGGGACAGAACTTCCCATTTTATTTCACACAGAAGTTTAGCCTTATAAACCCAGTGGGAAAGCGGTATTTCTTCACAGAGTCCTGACTGAGTCTCCAGAGACATCTTTGGTGCCATGAATAACCAGATGAGGTACAACAATAATTTTATTCAGTGCAGAAAGTATTATTCCCAGCAACAACATTTAATATAAGCCACCTGGATTTTGTTTTTTTCCCTCCCCCTACCATCCATGCAGAGTTATGTCTGTTCTGAATGGGGATAATTTTGGATATTATTTGAAAAAATGGCCCGCATGAAAGGAATAGGGAATTTAGGAAAGAACTCTAGCTTAGCTCTTTGGCAAATGGCTGGCTTACTCATGGGCTTCTGCTAATAGAGAGCAGAGCTCCCGCTGCACAGCACAGCAGCCTGACATGTGCCCTGGATCATTTAACCCCCAGGCTGGAGCTCTGGCCCCTGTTTTATTGATAAAGGGAAGGGGCTTTGGAGGAATGAAGCAGCTGACTCAAATCAGGAAGCTGGCAAATGGTTCAGGAAGGATTTCAATGCAGGGATTCCCTGTCCTCTGAGGGAGGGGACAGTGGTGAGGACCTTGGAGACATGATGCCTGGGACAAGAGGGGTTCACACATGGGCCTCTTAATTCATAATTACATAGATTAGAACTGAAGCGTAATCTCTTCATTGACCAGAAGTTTTTAGGTCTTCTTAATGGAAATGACTAGGTAAACTTCTAGGAATAAATTAGGCTACATGTATTTCATAGAGCAAAGTTTGAAAATGGTTTTTAAAAATTCAATAAACACATGGTCATAGGGATATTTTTAAATATGGGAATAGTTTGCTTTTAAGCATAAGTCCAAATCATCTTTTGAATTCAATGTAATTAAGCAAATTCACTTCATGCTCGAACAGATGGAGATAATATGTAATGTCAAGTTGTTTTTCTTTAGTTCAACCATCAAGTGTAAACTCTTCAGTTAAGGATTTTGCTACCTGAATGTTAAGTTCAGACATCCATTACTGGTGACATGCTCACCCCGCCAAGTGCCTCCACACCCCCAGATTGTATCTGATGCCCATGATGAGCTTGGCTCGGGTTTGAGTATATGCTTCCTACACACACTTCTAAGTGCATAGAACAATGCAGAGGTGCCACTACGACATCATCATTACTCCTAAAGAAAGGTCTTAGCAACCCATCATGACACCTACATTCTTTCTCTTTTTATGGCAAACTTTCACTGTGGTACATCAGAATACATTAATATGTGCACATAGCATAGACCACTAAAGCAACACAGAGCTAGGAACAGTACAGTTGGGTTTTTTTTCTCCATGAACTACTCAACAACACTTCTTAGGTGTTACTGAAATGTCATCCCATAGTTTGTTGAACAGACCCCCGAACAGCATTAAGGAGCAGATAACATTTGACATTTCTGTTTGGACTTCCTCTCCAGGTTCCCCCTCTGATTTTGTTTTGCTGCCTCTTCTTTGTTCCTCTTCTTACCCCTTGTCCTCAGTGACCAGTGTCTTCCTGTGGCCTCCTGCTGGGAGGCTGCTACCAAGAAACTTCTCCAGGCCAGTCCTCTCCAGGCAGCATCCTGCTTCGGGCTCTTACCTCCCCCCTTGAAAGACTTTCTCATTTGCTTCTGCAAAATCTTGTTCCATCCAGTTTTTGGTACCATGATTTCCACTGGCAGAACAGTAACCCAACCCATTGCAATGTAGTGAGGGCGATCCCAATGCTACTGTAGCAGGTGAAAGTCTTGTCTCATAGGCGATGCTAAACCACTGTAGGAAATGGGAAGTGTTTTAGCAGAGCTGGGGATCTGCTGCCAGAAATTCACACCCCAGTGACAGCTTAACCAGTGCAGGGCCCTAAGTTTGGTTGATAAATCCTGTGCTTTTCTGTTAGGTATGACTGATCACCTAGAAGTCTGCATCCAGTGCATGGGGTGGGCTTTGGCAATAAGTCCAATTTGATTAAATTATTTTCATGCTGCAGTGCCAGAGGGAAACGAAGATGCAGGCTGGAATGTGGTCGAGTTGTTGGAGAGACTCACTCAGCAACTGATGGACAGTCTAAAGCCCTTATAACCAGAGGCCAGTTTTCCTTAGATTTCCGCTCAGATGGGATATGAATGTAGTTCCCACACCTATCTTGCATGGGCCTGCTGGCAACTCCTGTACTACATAAAGCAAATGTTCCAAATTGTTTCCCCCATCTGCCACACTGGCAAGAGAAGACAAAGACAGTTTCTCTGATGAAGGAAACCCATGTCTCCCAAGGAGACTTCTGACAGGGCATTGATTGTCAGACCTCGCTGATAGTGTATGGATTGTGAGTGAGGCTGAATTCTCCAAGTGTGGGTTGTTTCACAGCTCAGCACAGTGATTATGGTTTGAATAAAGAATGAAAGGAGGCCTGGTGGGTAGGAATTTGCTTTAAGGATACTTGTAGTGAAGACAGGTGGCAAAGAGCAAAGAGCGACGGACCTCTAGCTTTTGTGCGTATCTAGGATTTAACATTGTGTCTGACGTGTATGGGGACGTGAGGATGGTGAGGATGGAGAACCTTTGGGGAGATCCAGGTTGAAGGTGGACCAACAAGGGTGGGTAGTGGTGTGGCTCTTTTTGGACAAAACCCTAGAGTGACTTGCACAGGAACGTTCTGTATCAGGCACTCTGCCCACGGTCTGCACCTGGATACGGATGCAGTAGGCAATTCACAGTCATCATTACATTATCAACTGATGTGCATTTCAATTTGAATGGTTTTGTAAATAGTAGTGTTACTCTTCCAGAGTGCCAAGAATTGCCAATGCAAAGAGACAGTGAATTATGGGACATGAGGCAAACCGATTTCATTAGTGTGTGTTTTTCAGGTCCTTAATCATTTGCATAAAAACTTGAAGAACATGTCGAAGAAGTCAGAGGCATCGAAGAAAAAGGTAATATTCACAAATCTATATTATTTATGTCACTGTTTACAGCTTTGTGTTTATTTTTATTTTAAAAAATATTGTTTAAATATATTTTTATTGATTTTAGAAAGGAAAGGAGAGGGAGAGAGAGATAGAAACGTCAATGATGAGAGAGAGTCATTGATCGGCTGCCTCCTGCACACCCCCTACTGGGTATCGAGCCTGCAACCCAGCATGTGCCCTTGACCTGAATCAAACCTGGAACCCTTCAGTCCACAGGCTGATGCTCTATCCACTGAGCCAAACCAGCCAGGACTGTTTTTATTCTTTCTTATCCTCATATCCACTCAATGCCTGTGAAACTTCAGTTCCTAAGAACAGGTGTTTGAAGGAAAGCTCTTACTGTTAGGTGTAGAGTGTAGACACAAGGTCAGGCATTGAGGGCCATGCAGGTAACTATTTTGCTGCATTAAAATGTAGATAGAGGGTTGGGGTTCTGAGTCTCCGTAGGAGCTGTGTTCTAGCTTGATTGGGATTGAGTGTAGTAGAATTACCACATCCAAAATTTGCATGATCTATAGTCATTTTATTGTGTATTTCCCATCTCTGGCGTGACCCCAGAAGGCCCTGGCTTGCCTGTCTTTGGAGGGAATCTGTCCCTTAAGCCCATGAGCAGATACTGTTCTTTGTCCCTCCTAGATCTATGCTGATGTTGGCCCTGGGCGGAGACTTACAACTGGGAGGAGGCCCTGAGGGGGATTCTACCCATTTAAAAAAATTTTTTTTAATTGATTTCAGAGAGGAAGGGTGGGGGAGAGAGAGGGAAAGATAGAAATATCAATGATGAGAGAGAAAAATCATTGATTGGCTGCCTCCTGCACGCCCCCTGCTGAGGATCAAGCCCACAACCCGGGCATGTGCCCTTGACAAGGAATTGAACTGTGACCTTCTGGTTCATAGGTCAGAGCTCAACCACTGAGCCACCTCAGCCAGGTCCCATTTTTAATGACTCTCTTATCAGGTGAATCCTGTCTAAACTGAGTAATGATAACCTGTCTAACATCTGCTATTTTTGACATTTTACATTTTGAGGAAAAAGCTATTTCACAAATCAGGGTTAATTTAACTCTTACTCAGATAACATCTGTATACTGTCTAATTTTAGAAAATAGAATGAGATTATTAGACAGTATGATTAGGGGAGAGGAGATTATAAACAGACATTGCTATTCTTAAATATTAGACATAACATCTTAAAATACGTTGTTTTTCCTTCTAAATATTTATTGTGATGAATGACACGTAATTTGCAGAAATTATACTTTAATCATATTTATTTTTTAAACTCCAACCTAAGTAAAGCACAGCTCTTCTAGACTTTTCTTGTTGATAAGCGATGATGTAGGAAACATACATCTGTTCCCAAAGGTGATGGATAGAAATGCTAGACAATTGGTTTAAAAGCCACAATCCAGCTTGCATTTGAAATACAACCAAATAATTTTTAGGAGAAGCAACTCACAGTGAAAGGCACAGCGTAGACGGCAGGCCTGTCTTAGTGCCCCTTCCAGTGTTTGTCCTTGTGTCCGGGCAGCCATCAGTCACACAGGCTTGTTCCAACATGTGGACCGGTCTGCACAGCAGCTTAAAAGTGTGGGGTGGAGTGGAGTGGGTGTTTCCTGCCTGTGCTCAGTGAGGCCTTGTTATGCTGGAGATATCCCAGTTTTTAATCTAACTCTTAGTTTCCCCTCTGAGCCACACTCCTCCTCTCCAAGAAAAGGATGCATTAAAAACCATTAAGGATTGTTAGACTTGCCCTTGGATGGTTATTTGCAGAGCTCTGCCCTGCACAGCACCAAGTGGCCATGGGTTCCGACCCTGCAGAGGGACAGGAATGAGCTTTGTCCACCTAAGGGCCCTGGGAGGGAGGATGCTGGCTGAACTTCCAGGAGGTGATGCTGCTCATACATGATACAGATTGTCACTGATGCTGGAGATTTTGTGCTCAGCAACAGGAATGAAATCAAGCATTTCTTTAAGGTTAGCTGGATCCTATCGGCATACAATGGTGATTTTAGTTCCTGTATTTGAAAAGTGTTGGAGAAAAACTGTGAAAGTCCCAGAGAAGAACACAGTGGTTTAAAAAAAATGAGAACAGGTCTTATAAGAAATGACAAGAAAAACTTCTGTTTTATTTTACAATAACAAGGCCTAAAGATTAGTAACTAGTTTAATAGTTACTTCATTTAATGTGTGTGTGTGTGTGTATAATGTGCATATGTATATGTGTGTATGTGTGTGTATTATATGTGTGTGTGTGTAATTCTTATCCTAGGAGAGGGTTTCAGTATTTGGAAGAGGAAGGCAGAGTTTCTCTTCCATTCTCACAGCCTCTGACCCTTAATAGCCTCTGGACAGATGTCAGAAGATCTCTTTTGATGTATTTAATTGCCTCCTTGTTTGCATAGAACAAATAAAGCATGGTGCGTGCGTGTGTGTATGTGTCTAAGAAAGAGAGAGCAGAGAGGTGCAGGGGAGGTTAAGAAGAGGGTGGAGAGAGGAGGGAGAAGAGGGAGGTCTGGGGTGGACAGCCAGGCTCGATGGGAAGTTCCTGAAGGCAGGGAACAGATGGGCTCCTGCCCCCGGGTCTCCGCACAGTGCCTGCTGGATGATGGCTCCATGGGGCTCGGATGGTGACAGCTCCTCACTTCAGCTTCACCTGTTCCCAGTTCCTGCTCTCTGTGGCTAAGTCCAGCTTCCTATCTCTGAGCTGTATCCATCCACACAGGGATCCCCTAAACAGCTGTCCTCCATGTTTGGGGGGAAATACAGAAGGAGGATGTAATTTTCACTGCGGGAATAATAGCAATGACAGCATAGAGTCCTGCGATGGAGCCAGCTAGACATAGGGGAATGCTTTCTACCACAGGCTGGTCAGATACTAAGATGAGCTCTGGAATAGCCATTGCAAGCCATCAGAATGGGACAGACATCATATGGGTTGGTCACGGCCAGGAGGAACCTGTAACAGGGGTCCTCTCGACACCATGTCAGCCACTGGGTTCTTTCACTGTCGCTTCCCCCTCTGGCTGGAAGTATGTAGCGAGCTCTTCGACTGTCATTTATACAATCACATCATGTTTTTCATCATTCTCATCTTTTAGCTACTTTTTGTTTTCTACCCAGCCTAGTTCCATTAGACATATTCTGAGCAAAATTCTTTGAAGAAAAAAACAGATATCTACAATGACTTGAAAAAGAGCGTCTCCCAGGAAGATGAGCGATGAATGTTTTTCAGATACTTTCAGCCTAAGGAGCAAAAAGAAACTAGGCTCGCAAGGTCCCACCCCCAGTGGAGGAGTCAGTGTATAGGCTCAGGATAACCTGCAGATGGTGGCCCTGGGCTGGGATTCCACCCTCTGCGTGGACTGCTGAGCACAGTGGCACATACACCAGGCTCGACTCTGTCTCTCATTCAGACCGATGCTGTAGGAAATGAAGAAAAGCCCTGTAAGAAATCATCCCCATTATCCATAGAAGG